AATAATAATAATAATAATAATAATAATAATAATAATAATAATAATAATATTCCAGACTGGCTCGTGGAAGGGCAAACCGTACTTATACCTAAAAAAGGTGACTTGTCTGACCCAATGAATTACAGGCCTATCACCTGCTTGAATGCTGTTTATAAAATTTTTACGAAAATTTTAAACAACCGTATTTTGCAGGAGGTAGAACCTGTATGGCAACAGATATATGAATAGCGTGGCAGCAAAAGAGGCCTGTCAGGTTGCAAGGAGAACTTGATAGTTGATCGATGTGTCATACAAGATGCGATCTACTATCAACGCAACCTTTCAATGGCCTGGATCGACTATCGCAAGGCATTTGACTCAACTCCTCACGAGTTGATCCTATATCTCCTCAAGTGCCTAGGGGTCAATCCTGAAATAGTGGAATGCATTCGGCGTACAATGGAGCTCTGGCGAACGCGTTTTCACATTGGAAGTGGAAACGCATTGCACATAACCGGAGTTGTATATTATCTTGTACTATTATCTTCGTCATTGCTACGGTATTGATGTGACACCAGTGCTGCCTTATCTGCCAGGAGATATTTCCCAGGTTGTTGAGAATGACAGTTGTAAAATCTATTGGAACATGCCATTTGCAACAACCCGGCGGTTAGATCACAACAAACCTGATATTGTGCTCTTTGACAAGGCTACTCGTGACATTTATGTCATAGAGTTTTTGGCCCCGGCTGAATACAACATCTCAGCCAAAGAAGAGCAAAAAAGACAAATATATCAGGATCTCCTGTTTGAAATTGGCAAACTTTACCCAGGTTACCGTGTCAAGCTTGTCGTTCTGATTGTTGGCGTCCTTGGAGGGATGAAACAGTCTTTTGTATCCTCACTTGCCAGAGTTCCAGCTTGCTCATCAAAAGCTGAGTTCTTGGCAGTCAGGATGCAGAAGGCTGTGATACTTTTTGACTGATGGAAGAGTAACTCAAGTAACTGATAGCAGTAACTAAAAGCTTATGATGCTCTAAATATTCATCAGTCATGATTGTACTTAATACAGGTATAGAATAGTACAGTAACCATTGTTTCCACTCTGATGCTTTCCAGTATTTAAAATCAAAAACAGATCTTGTCAATCGAGAAACAAAACCGGGAGGAGAAATTGATCGAATTTTACTATCTACAAATTTTAAATGCTCATACAAAGATAATTTACAATGACTATAACTACATTCAAAAAATAAACTAAATGCTCGTTTAACGACGCCCAAGTACACACAGTGCATCGAATCAACAACAGTTGTGTTAAAAACATCATACACTATTTGTGTCAATACCGTTGGACCTTTGATTCCATCAACTGCGTTTTTTTAATAAGATTGCGTTTTTACCATCATCGATAGATTCTTTAGTAGTTCTGGGTGATAGATTTGGTTTAAACGGGTAAATGCGTCTTCGATTAAAATACTTACTTTCAATTTTACAGTGGCAACACCCAAAAGTTCCATTATGCCCCTTCATGTTCAAAAAACTAGACTTAGCTGGTAAGTCACAAGTACCACAGATTATCATGCCTCTAACTTTTACCCGCCTATTTAAATCAGCTGCTTTACACCAAATACCGTTGTATAATTTTTTCAAATCATTCCGAAAACTATTTAAAAATAGGTTTGGTTGCGGTTTTTTACCATACCAAACGCCAGCTAACAATAAATTTTCTTTTTTTGTTCGATCTTTAAAAGGAAGCTCGTTTATAGTTAAATAAAAAGGCCACAGACTAAATTTTGAGGATTTAAATAGTGATATACCGTCTGTATTCCATGTAAATGAAATATTCGAAGGATAAGATAGAAAACTGTTATTTTGAAAGAAGGACTGATAAATACTTCCATCCCAAATATCTTCTAAATTTTTATTATTAATTTTACGTCTATTAAAACGACCTTGTAAAGATTGATAAAAATTAGGTCTCTTGAAAAGATTAATCAGTTGTGGTATTAAGGGAATTTGTATAAAGTAGCTAACTTCTTGATTGACATTACACTTGGGACAAGAGCTTTTTTGATTTTCTAATTTAAAAAAGCATGCAGAGCAAAAAAAATGGCGACGGATCGGTGATCGAATATTTTTAAAAAATTTGTCGAAATAATATAAAGTTTTGATACAAAGATTTGGCTGAATACAATGTAAGCTAATGAGTGATAACAAATCAGATAATAAAGCACGCGTTACTTTATGGCGGATCATAAAAGTTAATATGCATAAAACACTTTCACCTACCGTTAGTGGAGCATTATCATACAAGGGGTCATTCAGATGTTCAGTTTCAAAATTTGGACCACTTTGACTGCTATCAGAATCCTCTTCAGATTCACTGCTGTAAAAATGATCATCTTCAGAAGATCTACCACAATCATAGTATTCTTCACCAGCTGAGCTTGTATCAAATGATTGATAATCATCTTCATAACCGTCATTTGAAGATTCAATACTGTCGCTGTCATTATTAAATACATCAGCATCAAAACAAAAGCCATTAATATGATTGTTATCGTGGATATTTTTAGAAATAGAATTATTATCTTCATCATCATCATTATTATCATCATCATTATTATCATCATCATTATTATCATCATCATTATTATCTTCTGAATCGCCAAAATATTCAAAATCAGAAGAATAATCAAAATCATAATCTTGAGTTGGTTCACGATCGTCTGAAATTCGTAATTTTTTATTTTATGAAATTGCACGGAAAAAAATAATCGGTAGAGGCTACCGATTGGCGATCAATAGCAGCTATCGATTTTTTTTCAGTAGAGGATACCAATTTTTTCGGTAAAGGCTCCCGCAAAAATCGGTAGCATCTACCGAATAAAATCGGTTTCCTCAACCGAAAAAAATCGGTAACAGATACCGATTTTTTTTCGGTTGAGGAAACCAATTTTTTCGGCAAAGGCTCCTGAAAAAAAACGGTACTATCTACCGAAAAAAAATCGGTTCCCTCAACCGAAAAAAATCGGTAGCAGATACCGATTATTTGTCGGTAGAGTCTACATGAAAAAAAAAAATTGGGGCTGCTACATGATTTTTTCATGTGGCTGTCACATGATTTTCCTGCTGCTGTAACATTTCAATCATGTGGCTGCCACAGGATTTTCCTGTTGCTGCAGCATGAAAATCATGTAGCCACAGGAAGAAATCATGTAGCTGTCACAGGAATGTATCATGTGGCAGCCCCAATTTTTTTTTCCGTGTAGACGTTATCGAAAAATAATCGGTATTTACTACCGATTTTTTTCATTTGAGGGAAACGATTTTTTTCGGTAGATGCTTCTGTTTTCTTCGGGAGCTTTTACTAGAAAAAATCGGTAGCCTCTAACGATTATTTTTTTCAATGTTCAACTATAAAGCGTTTGAAAAAAAATAATAATTAAATTGAATTCAAAGACACATCGAGTCCAGGGATAATAATTTTTTTGTAATCGGTATTGTTACTGTAAATATAACAAAATTTATTCTGCAAATATAAATAAAAATTTCAACTCTAAATAAGAATGAAAATTTATAAAATAAGTGAATTTACTCTTTTTTTACAATCAAAAAAGTATAACATAGGACAGCATACACGGAGAGAAAAGAATCTTATTCCTATGTAGAATCATAACCATTACTATGCTACATAGTAACGGAAATTTTTAAGAAAACCCTGTGTAAATTTGCTTATAAAAATCTTAGAAATTGTGACGAATATATGAACAATAATTTATTCGATGCGACATTAAATTCCGAAAATAATCTCGTTATTTTTTGATTTTTTCTATAAAAATTTTAATTTGTTACTAACTAAAAACATAAACAAAATAAAAAATATCAGTTTTTCGTAAATAAGTCAATAATTATAAGTAACATTAAAAAATAGAAAAAAGATCCTTAAAGAGGAGGAAATTATTGAGAAAAAGTCTTGACTTTTGGAACTCTACCGTCAAAAACAATAATTTTTATTTAATGTTGAAAATAGGGTTCTGCGCGACTTTGTCACACGGCCGCGCCGATGCTAAAATACGCAAGCATCTGCGGGGAACTTTATTTTCAACATTAAATAAAAATTAATGTTTTTGACGCTAGATTTCCGAAAGCGAGACTTTTTTTCAATAATTTCCTCCTCCTTAAGGATCATTTTTTTTATAAATAAGTAATTAGCAGACAATCGTAGTTCATGCTATCAACAAAACAATCTTTATCTCCGAATGCCAACAGACAGTTGGCTAAAACTGCTGAGAGAAAGAGTTACAATGAGTTACTTGCTAATAGAGAGTTAAATCTAGCTAAATCCTTCCAGACTATATAGTAACTTGAAATAAACGAATAAATTATTAACTTGATTAAAAATTGCCGAAAACACGTCAAGAAAATCTACAAAACGGTTTTTAAAATTCTACATCGCATTAAATATTTTTAATTTTATAAATATAAAAATCAAAACAGTCGACGCGGTTTTGGTGTCATATATTTATTCATGTTTTTGAAGTTTAAACACACTTCATACTTCATAGTATATTTAATATAATAATAAATAGTATATATTATATTAAATTATACTCTTAAGACAGACTCTGTTATGCTTCCATCTAGTGGATGTTATTTTTATTTATTTAAAACTTTACTTACTGTAGTTCTTTCGCCCGGGAGTATTAAAATACTCGGTTTCAGTGCGGGAAAGGAATAATTTTAAATAAAAGAATTCTATTTAGACGTAATTTAATTTTGATCAAAATTATTTAGTTGGTTCCAATTTATTATTCGAGTTGACAAAATATTAAAAGCTTCAAAATATAAAATTGAGGTTTACAATGACGTGATCTTAGCAATCTAATCTCTCGATGAGAAGTGTCGTTACATAGTTTTTCCGAAGATCTTCAAACTCCGTTCTTCTCCCACCATAACTTCCACACATACATCCACTCTAAGGAATATATAAATACATACATTTTCTACTACATATAAATGATCCTTATACACTAACATGTATTTTCTCTATATCTATATATATTTACTTCAGCCGATCGGCCTGAAAGTTGGCCTTCACTTATATATAC